GTAGGTACAGCTTGTACTTTACGAGTCATCGTCTGTATGGAACACAGGTGAACGATGAGGACGCTATATCGAAACAGAAGACGATATGTTAGTGTATGCTCCTCTCACTTACCCACGGATAGGACCTCACGAACAGGATGTATGTCACTGACATGACAAATTATAATGAGTAAAGAGTGGGACACATTGATTTAATTATATCGAAAGTGCACATCATTTTCAATTGATTGTTTTCAAATGCGAAAAGAATTTAATTTTAAATCGTGTATTGTTATGGAGGGGTTATGATGTGCGACCGTTTTTTTTGTTGGGGGGGGGGGCAGTTTTACGATTTATGTCCGTGTTATGTGCATAACTAAGATATATCATACCGTACTACATATATTTTTATTTACGTGTTTAGTTTTATGTGTAACTATCTACGAGTAGGCAAATTGTAGAAGGAGGGCATGCAGATGGGTGTGAATGGAGTTATAAACGAATGGGTTACTTTGTTACTTTGGGAACTTTTGTTATAAAGTCAATTGAAGCTCAAATGAACCTCTCACTAAATGAAAGTGTGTGTATATGTAGATCCATAGACTTGGCCAATGTCAACAACACTGGGAAAGGGGCCCACAGTTCATAGCAGGTATGTGGCATTACCCATCCCAGATCGGACGAACACTTTGAACCAACTATGCAACGGCACACTCACAATGCGCTGTAGAATGCATAGTATAGACGTGAGCTAGTGCACTGGGTACACAATATGATAATAACGAGGTTATGACGTACTCTAACTATTTTAAGGTGCAATTATTAATAGGAAGCATTTATTATGAAACGTGGCAAGCACATATTTATTTTACAGCGCCATCAACGGCTGTTCCCGTTTCTGTTCGTCAAGATTTTATTCACCAACTATTTAAAACAACACAATAAAAAATTGTATAACATAAACTTATCATATCTACCTCTATATAATTTTTATTCGGCGTTTTTATATTATATTATATTATCTTATCTCATCAAATAACATATACATTGATAGATGGAGTGTAATATTTGCTTCATTTCCAATCACTGACAGTCATTTATTTCAGTAATAATAATAACACTTACAATCAAATTCATTTGTCCTCCCGATATACACATAAAGATTATGAAATATACACAGATAGATCTCAAGCTACGTGGAAGTAAGATGTTTGATTACATATTTACTGCAGAATACTCTACACACTCTATACTATAATTTATATTACCTAAAATTAGATTCTCTAAGTTACGTCCCTGCACAAACAAGAGTATCAATAACTATGAAATAACTATGCAAATTAGTCACGTGCCCTTGAGTAATTCTCGATATTTTCACGGTAAATCAAAATGAGATGTATTCGAAATCTGGAACCTCAAAGTAAAAAAAATTCAACACCATCAGGACGAAGTCGCCGCTATATTTAGTCTTTGTGTGTTTTTCTTCATAGTTTGAACACTAAATCAAAGTGTCCATTTTATATAGATCAACACATTAAAACAAACAGTACAACTGGAGGACGAGATGACACGACAAAATATTATGGATGCAGTGTAGAACTATCTGATCTATGACCTCTGTACATGTCATTCTAGAATTAGTACGTTGCACTATGGAGGGCGCCATTACATCTCAAAGTTATGCTGTGTTTTTAAACACTACCAAACTGTACAGTTTTGAAAAACGAGACCAAAAACGAATGAAAATGTTAGAAAATCACATTGGCAATTACACTCTTAGGCTAGATGCTGGCTGGAGTTTCTGGTCTAATCCAAAAAATTATTTATTATTTCGATGTCGAAAACATATATAAAATATCCCCTTTTTCACATATATGTCAATGAAACATACTGAATTTTATTTTGTAAAACTATGGAATTTTCTTTTGTTTGCTACATTTGCCGGTCGGCAAACACTGCAACAAGCGCGCGTCTGTCTTCATTTACTTGTGTATAGAATGGAACGCCGGATTAAACAATCATTGGGCCAAACTGACTTTGAACAGGTCACTGCTGGCCATTGGCAAAACATGTCACGACGCAAAACTAGCCAAACTATCCCCGAAACGAGTCAAATAAATCGATAAATAGATAACAATCTCATGATAATATGAGTAAGTAAATAATTATAATATAATAAACAAATTAATACATAATAATCATAAGGTAAAAATAATAACAAAATAAACACTAAGCTACATAATTAATAAAAATAAAGCATCCCAATAATTAAATAAATACATAAATAAAATGTGAAC